TTAGAGGGTTTAAATCGAATGCACAAGGGTATGATGATCTGTCACTGGATATGGTACAATTGACCTTGCCGCAAACTCTAAAGGCCATCACAACAATTATAAACAGATCCATAACAGAGGGTGTATTTCCGGACATCTGGAAGGTTGCTGTGGTTAAGCCTTTACCTAAAATCGACAACCCAGTCACCGTGAACGACCTGCGACCTATAAGTCTGCTACCCGTTGTCTCTAAGGTTTTGGAGAAAGTTGTGTGTGAGCAGCTTACAAGATACCTTGAGGCTAATAATATACTACCGGAGCGACAGTCTGGGTTCCGCCGGGATCATAGCACAGCAACTGCTCTAGCAGATGTTGTGGATAATCTCTTGGCGGCTCAGGATCAGGGGTGCCTTAGTATTCTGGTATTGCTCGATTTTTCGCGAGCATTTGACTCCATAAATATAAATCTCTTGCTTTCCAAGCTGGCTTATTATGGAGTCAATGCCCACTCGATAAAATGGTTCCATAGTTACCTTGACAATAGATGGCAGTGTGTTGAGCTGACTAAGGTAGATGGAACAAAACAGCGTTCCGGCAACCTTATGGTGACCCGTGGTGTGCCTCAGGGTTCAATCTTAGGACCGACTCTGTATACTCTATTCAGTGGCGATATCACAAATAACATTCGTAACTGCCAATATCACCTGTATGCAGATGACCTGCAACTGTATCTCCCCTTTAAGTATTCTGACCATAATAGCGCTGTGTCAAAGTTAAATGAGGATCTGAAACGTATTTTTGATTGGTGCAGGTCTAACTCCCTGGTTCTCAACCCTAAGAAATCAAAATTGTTGTTGATTGGCTCCAAAAAAAAATGTTAATTATTTTAAAGATATTACACTAAATGTCCATATAGATGGGGAGAGAATACAGCGTGTAAGTAAAGCAAAGAATTTGGGACTGATTATAGATGAGCACCTAAACTTCGAGAGCCACATTGCTGATTGCTCCCGTATATGTTTTTATAGATTGAAGCTACTGTATAAAATTAGACCCTATTTATGTGAACAACTGAGAATCAAGTTGTGTGAAATGCTTGTTTTATCTAAATTGAATTATTGTGATACTGTTTTTGGGCCCTGCCTCATGTCTAGAACAAATAAGCTCATCCAACGCGTACAGAACGCTTGTGCTCGGTTCTGTTTTTATGTACCTCCTCGTTCACATGTGACTCCTTTCTTGAACGCTGCAAAACTGTTAAAAATGGAGGCAAGGATGAAACTTCATCTGGCTACACTATTATTTGATGTGCTGGACAAGGAAAGACCAAGCTATCTTTATAATAAACTTGTATGGATGCGGGATCACAGTCGATACCCAGTAAGGCAGTGTGGGCATATCTTTGTAACAATGAAGCACCGAACAGCAGCTTTTCGTGGATCCTTTAGATTTGCAGCCACGAAATGCTGGAACGATCTCCCGCCGCCAATGCGTAATCTGAATACAATTTACACATTTAGGAAACATTTGAAAACACATTTACTACATAAGCAAAGCTTTTCATAGAATCTACGACTCAATTTATAGTTTTTCACTTTACGTAAACAGGCTTGCGGGGAATGATCCTGGGTTGTTGGCCAATACTTAAAACAAGTGTAAATTAATTATCATTCTCACATGTGGCCAAAACGGTCACATATTTGGGGAACACGCCACCCACTCTCAATTCAATTCGTTTATTACATATTCACAATGTACAAAAAGATACTCTGTTGTTCACTAAGCATGTTCAGATAGTTTTTTATAACACCCTTTTGTATGTTAGTATTTTTTGTTAGTAAGTATAGATTTGTATTTTTTTTTTTTTTGTAAATAATTGTTTCATATAGTTATAAGCCTCGTCAACCTTAGGCCCTGCCAGAATATCAGCGCCGCAGCGGCCCTGGCGTCGCTGTGGCACTATGCTGAGGCAGGGACCTAGTTGGCCTTTTTTTCTGTTATTGTATTTGTTTTGTATAATCTATTTTTTTAAGGCTAATAAAATACTTTCTTTCTTTCTTTCTTTCTTTCTAAAACTTAATGCTTGAATAGCCTCCTGAAATTTAATCATATTTTCTACAGAATAATCACGTTTCCTTATGCGCCAATAATTAATCGGACATGTCCTCTTCACAGGACAATTTAATAACTGCGCAGTGTGATCTGACAAGGCTAGCTCAACTACTTCGCTCTTACAACCTCTATAATTTACGGCAAAATTATCAAGACAAGTTTGACTACTGAGCCTTGTGGGTTGTCTGATTTGTAACTTAAAATTATAGCTTAAAAGTAAATTCTCAAAATAGTCAGTCAATTTGGTCCTTTTTAAAATATTTACATTAAAATCACCACAAATTATACATTTAAAATCATTATTATTTTTAGTCAATTTATTTAAAAGTAATTCAAATTTATTAAGAAATAATTCTATGTCAGTATTTGGTGGTCTATATATACAAACTATAATCAGGTGTTCAAGCGTCAACTTCAATGCACAACATTCAAATACAGATTTAATACAAAATTTCGAGACATCAACAATTTCATACTCAAAGCCTTGCCGAACCAATATACACGAACCACCTCTACGAATGTCTCTGAAATAGCTTGTGGCCAGTATATAGTTATTTAGATGAAAATTACAATTATCTACTTCTTTCATGAAGTGTTCCGTGATGCATATAATGTCAGTCTCCTTATTTTCTAAACATAAATCACAAATGGCGACAGTAAGTAAATCCAATTTATTTATCAATCCACATATATTTTGGTGAAATATTCTTAAATAATTAGAGACGAAAAAAATCTGATTCTTCAATCACCTGAACATTAGGCATAGAATGGATATCGTCTGTTGTCATTCGTTTTTTATTTTCAAGATTGTACTGACTTATTTCTGTCATAAATATTTTTAGTCGTTCAACAATATTTAAAAACGCAAAGTTATTTATTTTACCAAGGTAGAAAGAAAAATTTTTCCTAGTATACTCGAGAAAGTTATTGGAGTCTAATAAATATGCATACAGCATGAGTATGCATTGCTTAAATACAATAATTTATTAAAAGTTTCAATTCTATAATTATACAAATTAGCATTAGGATTTATTCTAAAAGTTGGTGTTACAATTATAATGTTGGTATGACTTAACTTAGAAAGCTTTTCGTGCATTGTTTTAACAATCAAGGAATAGTCTTTAGTTACGTGGAAATCATCCTCTCCAACAAAAACAACGCAAAAATCATCCATAGTAAACTCATGCACTTTATGATCAATTCTATCAAGCAGTTGTTCCATTCCTACCCCCGGCGATAAAAAATGACATACATTGAATCGTTCATCACAAACTCGCTTGACAATGTTTAATACTTTGTTTTTAGTATTACTACTGATTATGCACAGTCTTTTGGTTGAAGGTTTTTGGGAATATACTTTTTAATTAATGTTGAAGTAGAAGATAATACCAAGTTATCACTTTTTTGAATAAGGGTATCCGTAACGCCATCTAGTGTGCAGTGGCTGAACTGCTCACTTTTTCCGTCTTGTTGGGTTGTTTGTGTACTCGGTTTATGTATGGTGTTTGTAGACTTTTTGAACTGTTTTTCGCATTCTTCAACTTTTCCCTTTAGTTTAGTGTTTTCAATTTTAAGGTCCGCTATATTATCAAATGCATATTGTAACTCCATTTTCAATTTCTTAATTTCTTCTTTAAGCAACAAAATCTCGCTGTTATCTCCGGATAAATCAGGTAAACTGTGAATACTGCCATTTAAAGCATCTTCCATTGTTGAATTGATGAAGTAAATCAAAGGATTTACTTCATCAATTTCATCTGTAGAATTATTTTTATTGTTGGGTCCAGTTTTATTTTGACGACGAATAGTGATGTTATCAAAGAAATTCATTGTAGCGCCATCTATGACATGTCCCAATAACTAATTAGTAATAGTCTTTCTTGCCTGCTACTACTACGGGTCAGTTGTATGAAGTGGAGCAGTTTTACCACTCGTCGCTAGATGGTCGAAGTGTTTATACGATTTCGTAGACTAATGTCTATATACATGTGTCGTCCTCTATTGATCACACTGAACACTACTGGTAAATAAATGCTTTTCTGGTAAATGGTCGAATTGAATTGGCTACTCACCGCATAGTGCGCTGTTTTCTCAATGTATAAATTCAAAATAACGATTATCCAAAATGAGTTATTACTACAAAATATCACTTAATGGTTCTTTTTAACACACTTTTTATATAAATAATGAGATATCAACTCATAGTACTCTGCTCTGCTATTGTTTTGTTTTCATAATGTCACTGATTATTAAATTATCGTAGATTTTTGTACGATTTATAATTTGTTCCAATTTGAAGATGATATCCAAAGAAGTAACTATCACAAACACTTTCACTATAGACTTATACAATACTAATAATTTTTGTTTATTTTGATTGGTGTAAGTCGCACTTTGAATATTTTATTTAATTTTAAAACTACGGAGTCGATGTTTAGCGTGACGGCAGCGCCATCTACCCCTTCCTTTGCAGAAAGGCTCCAGCTGCCGCCGGAGAAGAGCCCCAGGCCACCACTGGCTGCGGATCGCAGCACGGCGGAGGGCGCAGCAAAGACGGGGACGAAGGAGAATAGGAGCGTGGTAGCTGCTCGGGGGAAGCCGAAGAAGGAAAAGGGCACGGCTCCCGCAGCAAGCCCGGTGCAGAAGGGGAAGACTGCCGCGCAGAACAGAAGCGGTCCTGACCAGAGGAAGGGTGGGGAAACGGCGACGCGCATAAAGGTGCCAAATACCGCCCCAATTGAGCTGAAGGTGAAGCCCAGGGCGGAGGAGCTGGGCTTCACCTACACTAACATTGTGGAAATGGCACAGGCGGCAATCGAGCTGCCGTCCGTGGGCATTGAAGAAGGGCTCAAAATTAAGACCAGCCAGACTGGCTCCAGGCTCCTGCTCGTCTCGGGGCCTGGAAACAGGGGAAAAGCAGACGCCTTAGCCAAGCGTATGAAGGAGGTGGTCGGCGAATACGTGGAAATTTGCCGGCCCGAAAAAAGAGCGGACCTGAAGCTGACCGGACTCGACGAGTCCGTGACGCCGAAGGAGCTCAAGGAGGCGATAGCCAGAGAGGGAGGATGCGCGGAGAGCGAAATCTCATCGGGGGGAGAGCACCCAAGTCCAGGAGGGATGAGGGGGATCCTCGTACGGTGTCCCACATGGGCCGCGAGGAAGTTGGTGGAGAAAGGAAGGCTTAAAGGTGGGCTGGAGCTCAGCGAGGGTGACAGTCCTCAGCCGGCTCGTGCACTGTTTCCGGTGCATGGGCAAAGGGCACGCGGCTGCGCGATGCCCGGCGCAGGAGGACCGGAGCACTCTGTGCTACAGGTGTGGGAAGACGGGGCACAGGGTGGCGGTGTGCGCTGCCCCGCCCCGGTGCGCAATCTGCGCCGAAAGTGGCAGGCCATCTGGCCACATAATGGGGAGTAGGAGGTGCGACCCTCCGATTACCAGGGGCAAAGTCCCAGGCAAAGTGGTCGCTGAGTCGTCGGCGCCGGGACAGGCACCCTCAGAGGACGGGATGTCCGAGTAGCCTAGGCTACTCGGACTCCCTGCCGACTGCCGTCGCCCGCGTCTCCCATCTCTTCTCCTAGGAGAAGGGTCAGGGAGACGCGGGCGGCCGGGAGAGGGGATGTTTGCCCCCGCATCGATGGCGAGGGGAGAGGGACGAAGAGAACTACGCTCCTCCTCCCGCTCCTCCGGGAACCAGTGGCCAGGCGTGGGGGGCGCCGGGCCACATTGCACGGTTCCTGAGACGTGTAGTGCCCCTGATACTCCGGGGAACCGCACGCCGGGGGGGTCCGGCAACGGACAATCACTGGCGGGGCCGCGGTGCGTTGCGAATCCCGTGGCTACCAACCCGCACTCTCGGCACGCAATGGGGGGACTTCGGTTCTCGGATTGCGTGTCGGGTGACCAGTGCTGGAGTATTGCCTGGTTTTTAGTGGCCCTGCTTAGGGCGTAGGTAGGGCCCTGCTCACTTCGGCGAGCCTCATGGTTCGCTGAAGTGGACGGGGAGGAGTCCCACATACCTTCTTCTCGCTCCCCCAGTGGTTGAAGGATGCGTAAAGCATTTTCCAGGCAAAACTAAAAAAAGGGGGTCTTTTCCTGTGGTTGCGATGGTGGTAGTGGCGTGAGGTCTATCGGCGACTGCGTTTTGTCGCCACTGCTCAGGGAACGGTGAAAACGCGGGTCGCGTGGGTGGCAGGCGCGTTTTTCGGCGCCTTCAGGCGTCGGTGTTGGTCTGAGGCGCTTCTTCGCAAAAGGTGTCAGTCCCGTTGGTGGAAGTAGGATGGGTGACCCACAGAGATTGCGGAGCGCCTCGAGCGCTGATTCATCCGCCGGGCAAAGGGAAATAGTTTTGCCCGCTTCGCGCTCCAGTATACGGACGTATGCGTTGAGCCAGCGATTAAGCCTATCCGATAGTAAACCGGATTCGACAAGCCGGGACACCATCACCGCATCAAACTCATGTTTGAGGCTAGGTGATGTAACCCCGGCCATCTTTTTGGCTACCTCGCTGACCGCGCTTCCGGCTACTGTAGCGTGAATTGAGGGTAGCGGTGAATCGAGTTCAGGTGTGGGAGGGGGGGAGGGGTGCGGTGAACGTTCCGCCGGAGGTAGTTGGCATTGTCGTCCCCTTTGTTCGTGGGATTTTTGATGCTGATGTGGGCTTCATTTTTGGCGTCGGTGGCGGCTGCGTCTGGCGTTTCGGCGGTTGGTCTGCCATCGCGGTTTACGCGAACGCGACGCGGCTCAGCTGGGTGATTAAACCGGCGCGACCCTGAACAGCGCGCGCGAGCGCGCTGCCCCGCTGCTATTGGGATGAAGTTCCCCGCCGGCCAAGGGGCCGGGTCAGGTACTTCCCTCTTATCGTAATGATAAGGGCGAAGACACTTATTATTGTTTTAGGGGTCCGTGCGCATACAAGTAGGCTCTAGTGTTTTAGTTTTAGTTTTAGGACCGTAAAACCATTATCTCTTCTTCGTCGTCTCGCGCGGCGCCGGCGCCGGAGGCGCCGCGGCGTGCGGGGAATCTGATGAGGATGTTTCCTTTGCAGATGTGTCGGTTTCGCGCTTCGTTTCGGACGAAGCGGTCTCTGGGGTCCATCTCGCTCCTGAGTTTTCACCACCGCCGCGCGGTCTAGCCCACCGGGTGGGACCCGTGAGGGATGCCCAGTGAGCGGCCAGCGGGCAGACGGTGGGCTTATCGGGAAATAGAGGTAAGGTTAATTTTAGTTGTGTTAAGTTGTTAGCATTAGTTGGGGTTAACAGATGGGGTTCCCCACCTGCATTTTTTTTTGTTATGTTTCTTATCTATATTTTATCTATTTTTTTTCCTCCGTGGGAGCATGGGAGCGCTGCTGGAGGCCGGCTGCGCGGTCGGCACGGCGGCGGTGGAGGCGGCGGTCGGTTTTTCGGTTTTCATCGAGTCGGAGGGTAGACATGAAACTTTCGCCTTCTGGGCGTAGCTTACCGACTGTGTCTGTGTCGGTAAAGCAGTTTCATGTTTGTCTTGGGCAGCGGGGGCGGGCACGGCGTCGTGTTTTTATTTTTCGGGCTTCGGCTTGGCTTTCGGGGTGGGCAGTGGCGTCGTCATATTGACGGGAGCGTCACCGCAGCTGCGGGAGCGGCAGAGGCGCGGGTCGCATGGGTGCCTTCTGCGCGGTTGTCTCTCTTCTGGTTTGGGAGTCTTGCCGTTAATAGGCTTCAGGTCTATGTTTCGGGGCGGCGGGAAGGTGAGCGGCTTCTTGATGACCTTCTTATTGTCTTGGATGACAAGGTGGTCACCGAGGCGGTAGTTGTAGTTGGCGCTTTCGTCCATCTCAAGAAGACGGACGTAGCACCAGATCCAGTCTTCCAATCTCTCAGACAACAGCCCAGAGTCCAGGAGTCGGGCCACCATCGCTGCGTCCAATTCATATTGGACGCGAGGTGACTTTAGCCCGAACACCGCGGTACCGGTGTACCCGAACACCGCGGTAAGTGTGTGATGTTATACACGTCGTCTGAGTCGAGCGGATGGCCGGAGTCTTCCATGATGCGTGGATGGGGGGCTACGCCTGCGCGATCCTGGCCGAGCTGCGCCTCACGGCGCGCTCAGGCCTGCGGCTCGGAGCGGGGCAGTCGTCGCTGGCACAGAGTGGCGCCAGGCAGTCTCGCGGAGCATAAACGTCAAGTTTATGTCCGGAGAGCTTGTAGTTGCGTGTGGATCCGTGCGACGGCGTAGTACAGTCCTCTAAAACCATTATCTCGTCGTCGTCCACTCTCCCCCTCCATCTTCACCACGGCCCTCGGCGCGGTCTAGCCCACCGGGTGAGACCCATGTGGGAGGCCCGGTGAACGACCAGCGAGCAGGCGGTGGACTTGTGGTGAGGTGGGGGGGGGGGGGGGCTGGATAGTCGTATAGGGTGTTGGCTGTCTTTTAAGTGTAGGATGCATGTGTGTAACTAGATTGTTTTTTTTTATATTTTTTTTTATATTTTTTTATTGTTTTATGTATTTTTTTTTTAATATTTTATATATATATATATATATATATATATATATATATATATATATTTAAACAATCTAGGTGTGTGCGTGTGTTTAAGGGGGTGGCCCGCCCGCCCCGCGCGGGCGGGACCTTCGTCAATCCGGTGGTTGTTGCTCGACCGCCTGCGTTCGCGGGCGGGAGTTTGAGGGCGTCGTCTCTGGTGGGGCTAGCTCTCGTGGGAGGGCCCTGTTGCGTCTTGTATGAGAGCGCTCGTACGCAGGCGCGATGTCGCGCAGGTGCTCATGCGTCGAGGCGTCCGCTCGATCATACATTCCTTGGGCTAGGCGGGTTACAAACTCGTCCAGTGTCTCTATCTTCAAATCGCGATGTAGAGTGGCGTTACTAACATAGCGGCCCGCATTGGTAATGGCGCGCAGGGTGAGGTGTTGTTGTGCGCGGATGCGTTTCCGCTGCGCTTCGCAGAGCAATGCATACCAAGCGGGCGCCGCGTATGTTAGTAAGGGTCGAATATACATTTTGTATATACTTACTTTCGTTTTGAGAGGTAAGCGGCTGCAAAGTACAAAGGAGATTGCTCAGCTTCCATACATGTTTGGCCTAAAAATCAATAATCATGAAAAATTGTTTCCTAGATTCGAAATTATATATAAATTACTGTAGAAACGAATATTATTGACGGACACCCCTGAGAACTTCTATAAACTATATACACTGAACATATTAAAATAATAAAAAACAAATAAGTAACATAGTAAACTAGGGAAATCAAGCCAAGTACCGAAATTATGGATTAGATTCAGGTATATAGAGCATGTAGATTAACAGATAGTTGCCTGTTTTTAAAGTTAATGCATAAGAGTAACTTTTAAAATCAGGTGTCATTTCCGGTTATAATAAGGTAGGTACTCTGTGACAGAAACTGTGTGATGATTGTGAATTCGTATGTTTTCCAAACCGGTAAAATGAAAAGTCCTTTTTAAAGTAAATATATTATACAAAGGTGTCCGTTGAAATCTAATAGCTGTAAATTAAATTATAAATTACGCCAAGAATTACCGTGTATGTCAATATTTTTTGTGCATTTGGGCCAATTTGAGCAATCTCCTTTGAGTCGTGCGCGGGCTCCTTTCGTCTGTGCTATTATATTGCTCACGTGCTTGTTAAGTGTTAGGCGGCGGTCTATGGTGACTCCTAGGTACTTGGCATGTGGGGCCCAAGTACTGCTTCGCCTAGGAATTTCAGTGGTGGCGGGTTTTTGCGATAGAGGCCGGTAATTATGGCCTGCGTCTTACTTGGGTTAGCGCGCATGCGCCATTTCTTCAGCCAGGGTTCTAGCGCATCTAGTGTTGGTTGGAGTTTTGCAGCTGCGTGGGCGGGACGAATGGATGACGCGTAGAAGGCCGTGTCATCCGCGTATAGTGCTAATTTAGTGGCCCCTTGAACGGGGACGTCGTCCGTGTAGGCTGCATATAAGTGGGGCGACAGGCAGCTACCCTGGGGGACGCCCGCTTGAACAGGTCGTGGGGTGGAATATGCTCCCTCCACTGCCACCTGGATGGTGCGGTTTGTGAGGAAGGACTTGAGGATCTTCAGTATTCGGAGCGGCAGGGTTGACTTGGACAGCTTGAATAGCAGCCCCTCGTGCCACACCTTGTCAAAAGCCTTCTCCATGTCCAACATCACGAGCGTTGTGTACTCTCGTTTGTTGAAACAGGTGGCGAGGTAGTGGAGCACTCGGGTGAGCTAGAGCGTGGTGGAGTGGCCGGTGCGGAATCCGAATTGCTCCGGACGGGGGTACAGGTGCGGCGTGATCTTCGGCAGTAGCGGTCGTT